GTATAGACTGGTGCAACCATCGTAGAGGTCAGTGTAGAGTTTCCTCAAAAAGCTAGGATCGGAAGTCCTATCTGATCCAGCTATCCTGCTTCTAAGCAATTTCCCAGAAGAACTGAAAACATCATACCACAGTGATACATATGCACCCATGTTTATAGCAGCACAATTTGTAATAGCCAAATTTTGGAAACAACCTAAATGCCCACCAACTGAGGAATGGATAAAAAAGATGTGGTATTTTTATACAATGGAGTATTACTCAGCTATAAAGGAAGACCACCTTGAGGCTTTTATAGGTAAATGGATGAGACTTGAGACCATACTCATATATGAAATAAATCAAACTCACATGTGTAAACACTGTATTGCCTCCCTAGTATAAGAAACTGAAAGAATAAATAAGATACAAAATCTTCAATAAATATTATGAAAATGTAAGAAACTGCTCAAACGGAAAAAAATAACTCAGGGAAAAAGAGAAAAGGGAAATGAAAAAAGGTACAAATTTTTATATATATATATATATATATATATATATATATATATATATTTAAGATGGCTAAAATGATTATACTACTAACAAAACAGTTAACATTCATAGGATTAGATCAATTTTGCCATGTTTATATCTGGTAATGTGAGTAACTCTTTTGAAGATAACATGCTTAGTTATGTTCCTACCACCTTGTTTTGAAAGCCTATACTGTTATTGTTTAGGGCTCTTTGTTATTGTTACTTATTTGTCTCTTTTGTTTCTTATTTTTCTTGTATTTTGTTTTGTTTTTCCCTCTAATACAGAAAGGAGAGATATATATGTATAAGCTTATACATGCCTAGAACTTGTCCTAAAGAATTTATAAGAATTGGTTTTATTACGTGTGATGGGATGAACAACTACTTTGAAGAAGATGAGACATCATGGTAGCCATTGCTGATTTTCTGTCATCTTATTTTGAAGCCCAATAATGCTTTTATTCTTTGTTTTGATTGGTTTTAATCTGCTTTCTATTATTTGATTTAAATATGTGTGAATATATGGTCAGTTATTTCAAAAGAGAACAAGAGACATTATGGTAGCCATTGTTGATTTTTCTATTGTCTGGTTTTGAAGGCCTGTAATACTTCATTTTTTGTTTTGATTGGTTTTATACTATTCTGTTTTGTTTGAATGCATTGTGTATGAAGATATGGACAACTATTTCAAAGACAACAAGGGGCATTATGGCAGCTACTGTTGATTTCCTGTTGTCTTGTTTTGAAATCCTGTGTTGCTTGCATTGTTTTGTTCTGATACGCGTTGTTCTGTTTTGTTGCCTTTTTATTCTCTTTAAAATAAAAAAGACGGTAATTAGGAAAACAAGGCCATTCACAATAGTATCGCAAAAATTTCTTAGGCACTGAGCTAATCAAGGAAGTAAAAGACTTACAACAAACAACAGCAAAGAGGACATCACAAAATGGAAAGATGTCTCTTGGTTTCAGATAGGCAAAGCAAACATTGTCAAAATGGTCATACTTCCAAAACTGATATATACAGATTTAATGCAACCTCAATCAAAATGCTAAAAGCATTCCTCACAGAACCAGAGAAAACAATCCTAAAATTTATATGGAGCTAGCAGATACATAGAATGGCACAAGTAACCCTGGGTAACAGGAGCAAAGCAGGATGCATCACAATCCCACGTTTGAAGTTATACTACAAAGCTACAGAGATACAAATAGCATGGTACTGGCTCAAAAACAGACGCATGGGTCAACGGAACAGAATAAAGGATGCAGAAACAACTCCAGGAACACTTGAGTGTCTGATCTTTGACAAAGGGGCCAAAAACATACACTAAAGGAAAGGCCTCCTTAATAAATGGCACTGGGAAAAGTGGCTATATACATGCAGAAGATTGAATCTAGACTCATATGTTTCATTGTATACTAAACAAAAATCAAAATGGACAAAGGATCTAAACATTCAAACAGGAACACTTAACCTTGAGTTACTTTTCTCATTGCTGAGACAAAATACTTGATACCCAAAGTTAAAGAAGGAAAGGTTTGTTTAGCTCACAGTTTACAGAGGTTTCAGTCCATAATTGGCTGGCTCCAAGGTAGAGTGGCAAATGGCAGAGAGGCAACTGTTCATGGTGGCAGAAAACACCAAAAGCAACAAGACAGAGAGAGATAGCCTCTTTCTGTCACTTACACTGTACCCAGTCTACTGAGATTCGGGTGGTGCCAATCCAGTCAGTGAACTGACATAACAATTACCCAACCTTAATCTCAGCACTCGTAATCCTAGCATTACACCATGAATCAATCACACATACTAGCTTCAGCCACCTCTGAAAAAACTCCATCCAACTATATGAGGCTTTGGGGGAACATCTAGACACAAACTATAGCACTACTAAAAGATAAAACTCTAGGTAAAACTCTTGCATAGGCATAGGCAAGGACTTTCAGAAGCCCATGGCACAAGAAATAATACCAAGCATCAACAAATACTTCTTTACAACAAAGGAAACAACCAACAGAATGGAAAGACAACCTACAGAATGGAAAAAAATGTTTGCCAGCTATTCCTCAGACAGAGAACTATCTAGAATACATAAGGAACTCAAAATTTAAAAAAAAATTTTAAAAACCCTGAGATCTTCCAAAATAAAAGACCCAATCCAAAAATGGGCACCTGTAATGAACAGACACTTCTCATAAAGAAGTACAAGTAGCAAATAAGTATTTGTAAGTGTTCTACATCACTGATCATCTGAGAAATGCAAATTAAAACAACATTAAGATTTCATCTCCCTAGGGCTGGGGATTTAGCTCAGCGGCATAAGCACCTGCCTTGCAAGCAGGCAGTCATGAGTTTGACCCCCAGTACTAATAAAAAAAAAAAAAGATTTCATCTCACTTCAGACAATGGTTATCATCAAGAAATCAACTAATCACAAATGCTGCAGAGGCTGGGGTGGAACAGGGCTGGGTTGTCCTTACACTGTTGGTGGGAGTGCAAACTGGTGCAACCACTATAGAAATTAGCATGGAGATTCCTCAAAAAACTAAAAATTCATTCCATTTGACTCCGCTCTTCCCCTTCTATATATCTTCCTGAAAGAGTTAATAATATCATATTACAGTGATCCATGCGTACCCGGGTTTATAGCAGCATAATTCATTACAGCTAAATCTTGGATGCAGCCTATGTTCCCATCAGCAGATGAATGGAAACAGGAAATGTGATATTTACACACAATGGAGCACTCTCTGCCACAAAGGATAAACCTAAGGCATCTAGGAAAATGGATGTACCTTGAGATCATAACATTAAACAGAATAGATCAGACACACATGCTTAAATATCGCATGAGAAACCCACAAATATAAACACAGAGCAAAATAAAAGATAACAGGAAGTAGGGAGATAGATCTGTTGCCAGGTGGGAGGGGGATCAAGAGATGGAGGGAGGGAGCGAGGGAGGTAGGAGGGCGGAGGGAGTAGAAAAAGCTTGGGCTGTGCTGTGCACATGTACCAACCCTCTGGAAGAAATGTAAGCATTATGTAATGCAAACATGTACTAATAAAAATAAAAACTGAAAAAGAGACACTGAGAAAATGTGGTAAAAGACTTAAAAATCACACACCATTGTATGCAAAAAGTGACAATGACAGGAATGGAGAATTAACACACGGCAGACTGAATAAATGGATCCTCCACTATTCCTGTTCTCTATTTGCTTCCTTCCCCCTTCTTGTCTTATTCAGTGGATAAACTATTTAATAAAAATCAAGCTCATTACTGACTTATTTATGAAAACATGTTCTCTCCCATTCACAATAACCTAAGAGAAGGCAGTAACAGCCCATTAAACAAGCAATTACTTTTTGGGGCCACATCATCATAAAATGCTACTCACCAATACAATCAGTGATATTCAGCCATTGTTCAGGCTAAATTATGCTTTCCTCACAAAGCTGTCTGGGGGCCTTGACATCCCACCTTTGAAAAATCTGTCTGGCCTTTTCGAGAGTACAAAAGCACAGCCAGATGCCTGGGCCACACTCAGCAGACCAGCAAGGAGATCTTTAGTTTTATTATTTGCCAAGTTTCATAATCCAAAGTGGGTCACAGTGTTTATCAGCTTTTTGTCTTTCACTAACTTGCACACACCTATCAGACATGTTCACGTTTTTTCAATCACCCACCAATTTATGTAAACCCCAATGTTCAATAAAACAGTTCATCTTCTCATTTTCTGTGATACTTAAATGTCATTTCTGAAAACAGTTTTTCTCTTGGTCAAATGATAAAAAGAAATTTTTAAATCTTTCATTGTCTTTTAAAAAAATAAAATATGAGTTGAAACAAAGCAGGGAGCATGAAGACCAAAAAGCCCATCGGCTTGGTGAGAGCCCAGATCTTGTCTGGAGGTTGACTCACACCAGCAAGTGATGGAGCTCCTTACTGAGAATTAAAGACCCATGCACACAGACTACAGAAAGCTAAGGTTATCAAGGGATTTTCTCATTTCTTTAGGTGTAAAATATTATTTTCAAAAAGACTCTCCTCTTTTAAAGACAAATAATGAAAAATAAATGAGATCCAAAAGTTCTGGATCTGCTGGAGGATCATTTAGGGCATGGTAGGGTGCAGCTTGCAAAGGTTAGTGGAGTGGCGATTACACAAGATTGACCCCAGGTAACCCGGCCGAAACTGGCAATGAGTCTGTGAGGATTCAGTACTCTATTCCCCATACGTTAGCCTAGTTTTGTAATTGTCTGATTTTAAAAACAAGTTACACGTGAGCAGAACTTCACAAAAACGAAGTAAACCCCAACACATGCAGCCTACAAAATGTCACTCTCACATCAGGGTTAAAGCACTGTGTGTATGTGTTTTCCCACAAGATAGTTAAATAACATTTGAAAGCCTCTCAGGAAACTTTTTTCAAAACCTCGGAGTTTACACTACCAGTAATGCTTCTGGAAACTCATCACTCACCTTTTTCAAAGCACAAGCCTTTATGACTCTCTCATATCGCTCTTTTTCATATTTCTTCCCAAATAAAATATTACTCCTCACAGTTCCAGAAAACACCCAGGGCTGCTGGGAAACATAGGCGATTTTCCCGTGCACGGTGACCAGCCCCTGACTCGGGGGCAGCTCCCCGAGCACAGCGCTCAACAGTGAAGACTGGAAGAGAGAAGAAAACACATGACATGTGTGGCCAGCGGGACAGGGGGTGGGGGGCAGGGCAAACCCCACACTGCACAGCGGCCTCCACGGTCCCGCCCGGGGGGCTGACCAATATTAGGTCTCTCATTTAAAATAAGATGAGGTACAGCATGCTGCAGTAAAAAGCTGAAAATGTCAAAAACGAGTCGATGTAAACAATACTGTTTAATAAGGAACGTTAACAAAATAGAAAGTGTCAGTCTACTCCGCCCACACAAGCCTCCCCCAAGGAGAATGCTGGGCTGGACTGCTATCTGTGCTTCGGGATGACACAGATGATTAACAGTGTCTGTAGTAACACCAAGGCCTCACATCACACAGATTTCATGTATCTAATACTGAATGGAGCTGTTACAGCACCTAGGTATCCTTGATCTCACCAAGTTCTTGTTCCAGAAGAGCTATGCATAAATAATGTATCCGATGCACAAGGGGAAACTTTTATTTGAAGATATTCTGGAGGACAAAAAGCACAAAAGGAAGTAGTCACCCTAGCATTTACACAGCTAACTCCAGGACTGCCCATGCTTTATTGTTTAAGAATGCACAAGTCTGAGTGTGCATACACATTCCTTTCAAGTTTTTTACAGCACTCAGGTGGCTGTGTTCGTGCCTTGTAACACACAGACTAAAACCATCTCTTTGTCTTTCTGCTTTGCCCAGGAACTTGGATCTTCTGCAGGACAGAGCAAACAGAGCCTGGCTCCTGTGCTGCTCCAAACTGCACTGTGTACAGCTGTACTTGGACCAGAAGTGCGTTGGCATGGCTTATGGGTAAGTCACACGAAGAAATGTTTAACACTGGACAACTTCTGGTGCTGGGCTGCATCTCAGGTTCACTCGGACAAAAAAAAAAAAAAACCCTACTTCTTCATTCCATCCTAAACAGCAGACACATAAATCATATAAATAATTTCCTTTGTTGTCATATCCAACCTCTGAACCAGGAGCTCCCAACTGTGTAACTTCAAGCATCAACGCAAGTGTAATGCACAACTCCCAGATTCCTTTGGTCATGCAATCTGCTTGCAAAATTAACGAGCCGTAGAACACACCGAGAAATGCCCTTCCAGATATCCCTGATTCACATGGCTTCGGCTCAACTCCAAGAATTTAACATGAGATATAGTGTTGCATGAAACGGCCAAAAAGGCTTTATAAACTTACCTTGCCTGCTCCCACGGGGCCTATCACAGCCAACAATTCCCCAGGTCTGGCAGTGAAAGAAAGACCTTGGAGGGTTGGGGTTTCCAATGTCTACAAATTAAAGATTACAAAAAATGTGTCCACTTTAATAAAGTAACAAAAGTCACTTCAAAAGTACAGGAATTAAAGCGACAGTCATTGATACCTGCATAATTCTTTTTTCTATGTTAAGATACTGCGTCCTGATACCCCTTTCACTCAATATTTTCTCATGGTATCTAAAGCAGTTCTAACGTTAATATTTCAAGACAGCCCATTTCCTTACACCTGACTTTCATGAACATGGTTCAAAACACCCACAGACTTTAAGCAGAAGAAAGCACAATGCAATCTTTTTCACATGAAGCTTCTTGCATGTATATACGGTGACATTTTGAGGGAGGGACCCTAATGTGGTATTACATTATTCTTAACAAAATATCCAGTGCACAAGGTACATAAATCATTTATAAATTTGCACTGACTCTTAGTTTTAATCTATTTCATTAATATCCACAAGATGGCAGCATAACTATACGGCATGCCCAGCCCCTTGCTAATAATTTGAACTCGTCATTAATCATTCCATTTTTCAATTGACAAAGAATGACTTCTCGATAAGGCTCAGCAAGCAAGAAGGTATTTTACATTATGTAGTCACTCTTAGCAAATAAACCACAAATGATGGTCAGAAATTAAGTACACTATAGGATTATGGGTCAAAGGGATAAAATTTGTCTTGTTTGTGATGTGCATTACTTAACCTGGCTAAACACGGTCAGTATGACAGCTGTACAAATACCACAGAGGCACACACTAAAGCACACAGCCCAACACACGGAAGGCCAGGGATAAAGCACTTGTTATACTACCAAAAAGCACATTCCTGAAAATCTCTAAATTATAAGGTAAAACTATATGTGCAGATACAGGTGTATAAATGCATAATATGTATATTGTAATAACATCATGCATATGTCATATATGTGTGTGTATATATACATACACACACACACACACACACACACACACACACACACACACATCCCTCAATCAGAAAATCTTAAATGTAAAACTTTTTGATGTGGTAAGTACAGAATTCCACATCTGCCTTTCACTGTATGAAGCTTCTTCAGGTTGTATGTGCAGGGTGTATATGAAATACAAATGACTTTAGTAGTTAGTCCTGGGTCCCTCCCTCAAAATGTCACAGTATATACATGCAAATATTTCAAAATCTGAAAATATCCAAAATAGGAACTACTCCTGGTACCAAGTATTTCAGATAAAGGATATAAAACCTGTACTAAATTTCAAGGAAATTTTCAATAATTGCTAATGTCTCAAAAATGCTGTTTTATATAGTTTCTCAGTTCAATTTATTCTTTAAGAGACCAAATCAAATTTAGTTCTACAAAGAATTCCCAAATAGTACACAGTCAACTGAGAGATTAAAAGTGTTAGAGGAAGAATTTAGCAGAGCATGATAAACTAAAATGCGTTTTCCTTTTCCCATTCAATCATAGTAAGTCCTGCAATTTACCTATCCTTCAAGCAAAATTCAGGTAGCATAAGCTAAAAGAAGAATGTCTGTGCCAGTCAATCTTAGCTATCGCCTTGACTGGATGGTAAGGTACTGACTTTATGAATGGGCTAATCTGACGACCTTATAGTGAGGCACTGACTTTTTGAATGGGTTAATCTGATGACCTTACAGCTGAGTGGGCTCTTCGGAGGTGGGGCCTACTTGGGGAAAGTGGATCACAGGGTTGTAACCTTGGGACTCTATCTGATCCCTCTCTCTCTGGCTTTTCCTCTACTTTCTGCTTTGCTCCACCATGCCCTTCCACCATGATGCTTCTGCCATGGAGCCAGTGACCACTGCCTACAACTTCTGAAACTGTGAGCCAAGACAAACCTCTCCTTCTTTACTCTGGGAGTGACACGTATTTTGACCCAGCAGTAGGAAAGCTACCCAATACAATGGTTTTAAATTAATAGTACAGAACCTCAGGGGCTGGGGATTTAGCTCAGCTGCATAAGCGCCTGCCTTGCCAGCAGGCAGTCGTGAGTTCGATCCCTGGTACCGATAAAAACGAAAAAGACAAAAAAAAGAGTACCTCGATAGTGGTAATCACATACCCCCAAATCCACATTTCTGATAGAAAAATGTTGAGGATAACTATGGAAAGTGAAGTTTTAAAAGTAGCTATGTGGAGACTAATCTGAGGAGGCTTTCTGTCCATGGTTACAACTCCATGTGTCCTGCAGAGATCTGAGAGTGGACCTGAGTCTCTCCAGTTGTTACCAATGGCTGAGGAATTAACAACTCTTCTGAGCCCCAAATCATTTGTAAGGTACCTTCTTAAAAGCCTGGAACTCTATGCAACACTCTTTGGGATGTTTTCCTCCATATCAGAGAAAAAGAAGATCAAGCATGAATCAGGGGCAATTCAGTCTGCTGACCTCTAGAAAAAGAATTCTTTAAAAATGAATCTGGTATCCCCAAAGGGGAGCGTGTCCTGGATCAAAGAGGACAGCTGTACGAAACCTGTCTGCCATCAACAGCCATGGCTCAGCTTCTCAGGGCCAGAGGTGCTGGCCCCACGCAAAAGCTCAAGACAGAGCACCGTTCCGCTGCAACCAGAGGGGGGCAGCATCCAACCCCTTCCACCAGGTGAGAGCTGGGTGGGCTGACAGGGATGCAGGCTGGGAAAAGCCCCACGTTGACTCATGAGGTTTCAGTGGTGCTTCCATCAAACCCTTCAAGTGCATCAGGCCGGGACATGCCATGCAGGTGGGGAGAAGGCTTGGGTCTGAGCCCTGGGAGGTGAGCAGAGGAGGAGAGGAGAGGCCAGCCGGTCCCACCAGTACCAGCCTCTGCAGTCCCCACTCCCAGAAGACAGCCTCTGGCTCCTGTTCTCAACCCCTGCTGGGAGCAGGCACAGAGAAAGAGACAGAGACAGAGACAGAAGAGCGCCAAGCTGCTCCCTCCAGGTCACCCCAGGGGTGGGAGCCAGCAGCTTCTTGCCATTGCCAATCCCAGGGTAGCCTTGCTCACCATTGCCTCCTCTTTTGCTCTTTATCATCTTGGTAACAAATTCTCAGCATGAAATTCCTACTCCTCTGCTGTGCACTTTGTTTCCCAGAAGAACTCAGACTGAGAGGAGGGTACACACACACACACACACACACACACACACACACACACACACACTCACACACAGAGCTGAGAGCTCCGGAACAAAAGCCCTTGGAGCTGCAAAGAAAGGGGGACCCACAGAGCCTGCCAGTCTGAGCACTTGGTGACCCTGCTCATCCAATCCGCTTAGATATCCTAAGCAAACCAAGTGTGGGAAAAACTCTGTGTCCTTGCCTGTTTTACCTGTCTACTGTGTTCATGGCAAAACCCTTTGGTTAAGAAACCAGGGAGCTTACCTTGGCCTGTGCCTGCTCCCTGCCTGAGGCTGCCACCAAAGGGGCTGGCATCCCCTGGAGGCACAGGATAAGGGAGATTCATCCCTTCATCAATAGCAAAAATGTTTTTGAAAAGGAGATGACGAATAACTTGTCAAACACTTTAGGCTGGTTTTGTACTTCCTTATGATGAATGGCAAACCTTATTCCTGATTTTGAGAATTTTTAGAACATATTATGAGTACATGAGAAAGTCCCATTTTACGTAATATGTAAAATCTCTGCATTCTCTATTAATAATAATCAGAGCCATCCACTATCCTTTGGAAGCCATGAGCATGAGGTCGTGAGTTCAATCTCTGGTACCCAGGAAAAAAAAAGGTGCATAGAGGAGGATTTGTTACCTTATCCCAGAAGGCAGTAAAATCTTGCACATCCACTATCATTTTGCCCTCTGTTGGTGCCTCAAGGTTGGGCTGTGATATCTCATCAAGTAACAGGAAGTTCTAAAGAAAAAGGAAAACCAAAACTGTTTAAAGCTGCAAAACCAACAATCACTGCTTCTATGAACTTCACAATACAAGGCTCCACCCAGCCTATGAGTCCCTTTACCTGCCTATTTAAAGTGTTGTCTCTGGTCTGTGGTGTTGGCTCAAGAGCAGAGCACTGTGTAACGGGTGGGCTCTGTCCTCCATACACAGACTTGTATAGAAAGGTAGAAAGCTCAAAGCCACAAGGGAGCTAACTTTGTAACTTTGAGTCTAACTCAACAAGTAGACTGATTCTTCCCTACAGGGAAAACACAGTCCCAAAGCTGAATATGTGTAGAACCTGTACATTTTCACTGTTTTGTTTTCATGTAATAGTAAATGCAGGAGTCTCCAGAAAGTGAAGGACGGACCTCTAAATCCAACATAACTAGCCTTCTTAAGAAGGGAGAGACATGTTGACAGAAACAAGCCACACGACCATGGAGACAGAAATGAGTGAGGATGCCCGATTGCTGGCAGCCACTGGAGGCTGGATGAGGGGAAGGAAAATCCTCCCCTGCAGATTTCAAAAGGTGTGCAGCCCTGTGACACCTAGGGCTCACACTGCAGCCTCCAGAATTATGAGAAGATGAATTTCTGTTGCCTTAATCACACAGTCTGTGGTTCTTCACTACAGCAGCCCTAAAATCTCACTTAGAACCCATGGGGGCTTTTGCAGTACAGAAATATAAATTATATGTGAAGATGACATTAAGCCAGATATTCTAGAACCCACAGGCAGACCTAACCTATCTATTGAGGGCGGACCTGAAATACGCACGTGAACATGTCTGAAAAAGAGGAAGCAACACTTAACTCCATCTACTGCTCTAAAAACTGTACTCCTGGAAGTCTTCAAAATTCTTGTTGCTCACTTACAAATTTATCTGTAATCGTCCACTCCCAAAGATCAACTGGTGAACAGTGCAAATGCAAATTTCCTTTTGGAGGAAAATACACACCTGCTATGCATCTTCTAAAGCTCCCAGGAACATAAGACACAATCTGTTCATTCGTTCCGCCACTGAATCGGCCATCAGCCTTATCACTAAAGACCAAACACTACCATTTCTACCTGCACAAGCCATGTCCAGCTCGGAGGCAAAAGGGCAGACACTCCCCTATGGGCTGAAATACAACCTTAGACTGCTCTCTGCAGACTTCTGTAGCCAAGCAGGTATCAATCCCTGACTATTCTGCCACAATTCGCCTCTCCCCAAGTCTCTGTTCCTATTGAGAGAATCTATGTGGTCATGAATCAGCACTGGTATAATGTTTTCACTGCTCTCTCTGCACCCTTGCCCAGCGCTCCCAATGCTACCAAAGAGTCCCAAGCACACCCCAAGGCTCTTCTTGAAATACTTCTGATAATGAACACGGCTTAGAATGCTTCACACCCTCCACTACTTCCACCCACGCTCCCAGAGCAGCCTGTGCTTTAACAGCCTGAGTATAAATCTGACTGCAGTGGGGCCCATCTCGGCGCCAATCCTGCAAGGCATTACCCTTCAGGTTAAGCTACACGGAGGGTGGAGACGCCTCACTCATGCACTTAGGGGCCATGCCTCACACAGATACACGCTACCCAAACAAACAGACTCTATGTTCGGCTTAAATTATTCAAACCACCAACTACATCACTAGAGTCTCACACAGTATGAAAGATTGCAATAAGCAAAAGGTTGCATATGCTATAAAATTTGTCTAGATAGAATAAAATTCTCATTTCAGCTTACAAATATTACCAAGACATAAATCTCAGGCTTCTGTGTGCGCCCGTTAGAATAAAAATTTCCTCCCTTCAAAAGGAAATAGAAAAGCTATGCACAAGGCGAGGAAGGAAATCTACTGAGTGTTTGTCCATAAACAACAGGTCTGAGGGAGAAAGAGGTAATCCTCTCCCCATGGCTAATGGGGCTCCATTCAACAAGTAAACAGCTTCTGAAGGTGCCAGAGTGCTCCAGGACTCGGGATGATGAAAAAATTGAATTAAATTCTATGACACCAGGGAAATGTGCTTCCCAGGACCAGTTCCACAGGAAAGCACCTGTCAGAACTCAGCCAGAAAGACTGGCCTCCAAGTAGCTGCAGGCAGAAAGTCAGGGAGCTTTGTGAACAGTGTGAGCTCCAGAGACACTTGACTGCATGTGGACGTCACCAGAGACTTGCAGTGCCCTGACGTTCAAACCAGATCTCTTATAATTCAATTGGATTTACACAGTGCCAAAGCCATGGATCCTGTCCTTACTAAGAGAAAAAACCTGAAGACACTCCTTGGGCTATTTTCTGTCTATGGAAAAGGGAGAATTAAGAAGAATGTGTAGGGCTGTAAGTAATGGTAGAGCACTTGCCTGGCATGTATGAAGCCCTGGGTGCAATCCCCAGCACAAAGGAAGGAAGGAAAGGAAAGATGCAAAAAGGGAGACCCTACACCATGAAACCCACTACTAGATATCTCAAGGATGGGAAGACATGATGGATTCTTTTGCTACAAAATGATCTATTGAAAGTCACCTATGATGGTGTAGTTTACTAAGTCCTGGGCTGCAGAGGATTATGTTGCAGCATAAATTTAGAACATCATGTGACTACCAGGGTTTCAGTCTATCTTTGGTCAAACCTCCCCTAGTCCTGAACACCTGGTCAGCATCCTCGCCTTCAAACTCCTCACTGCCACATCTAAGTGGGAGGAAGAAAGTGAACGGCAGGCCAGTTGATTGCACTCACTGCCCATTATCTCAGTCTGAGAAGTAGGAAAGGAGGCTGGGTCAGGCAGACTGCCCTTACAAGTATCTCACAACCAATACCTAGACACCCCAGAAGCATCTCAAATTTCATAACCAAATTTACCCCCACATCTGGTCTTCTTCTGGCATCCCACAATCCAGTGAATCCAGGAGATTTGCAGCCAAAACCAACAAAGCAGCCCATGATTCCCCACAACTAACTTCTCCCCCATTTACCACAAAGGCAATGTGAGGTCCAGCTCTGAGATCCACCATGTCTCCACTGAGCCCTGACCCGAACCACATCACCTCGGAGCACTCCCTCCATCAGCCTCTGGATGCATCTCTCCACCTCCACTCTGGTGCCCACTCTTCAACCCCATGCACACCTCTCCCCAGGCTGCAGCCAGGATAAGCTTGCAAAAAGCTCAGATTCTTCCTCTGTCAGGTCCTGCACAGTGCCCTGCGCAGGCCTCTACCACTCTCGACCTTGGAGCCTCAGATGGTTCTGCTTCCTCAAACACATGTGTCTCTCATGTACTAAGTACTTTTGCCACATAACTAGACCCAGGGGAGTGCAAAGCACCAGCCTCCTACCTGCCCAACCACCTGGCTCTGCCAACCCCTCCATCGCTACCCACTTCAGAACCAGCATCCTCCACAGCACCTCACGGCACTTGGACTTTGCCGAACAGTGAATTTAATTGATTACTTACCTACACACACACACACACACACAGAATGGCACACAACATAAAAGCAGGACTTCTATGCCTTTGCTAAACACTGTACAGAAAGAAGCATCTATCACAGGGCCAGGCTTGAGCCAGGTTCTCCATGACTATATAGAGTAACTGAATACTTGCCAAATTTTTCCTCAAAGAACTCTAGCCGAGTGCTGTGTTTTTCCTAGCAACTGTTGTTAAGTGATGCTGATATTGTTTACATTTGCTAAGTACAGTTTGATCTGTGTGATTCCTCCTCTCTGACACACACATGCATGCATACACATACACACACACAGATACACACACACACACACACACACACACACACACACACACACACACAACTTGGGCAAATTTCTCGAAATATAGCAAATTATCAGGTACACAAGGACATCTACTACAGACTTGAGCACCCAGGGCCCAGCCAATGCCCAGTGAAGCAGAATCTCAGAGGTGAGATAACTGAGTTTTAATAAGCAACTCCAGGTGACTATGATAAATTAGGAAGTAAAATGTTTAAATGGGCTATAGAAACCACCTACATTTTTTTTAAAAAAGTCTAACCAGGTATGGGTGATGCACACCTACAATCCCAGCACTTAGGAGTTGAGGTAAGAGGATCACCATGAGTTTGAGATCAGCCTGGGCTCCATAGTGAGTTCAAGTCCAAGTCTAGGATCCAAAAGAAGGAAGAAAAAATTCCCACAATTCTTTCGAGACCCCCATGAACTCATCTGCCACACTAATAGCATACTGTTTTACCATTCTCTTTTTTTTTTTTTTTGAGACAGGGTCTTGCTGTGTAGTTCAGGCTGGTCTGGAACGCACAGTGATCCTCCTGCCTCAGCCTCCTAAGTGCTGGGATTACAGGCATGCACCACCACCTCCAGCTCTTTCACCATTCTAATTCTCTGCAATTTGCCCCACCTTTGTTTGAAAGTAACTACTGCTGAAGAGACCCCTACCCCCAGCCATGGGTATGAGGGGACACCAAGGTTTCCTGCCCAAATCAAAAATGCTTCCTTTCTCAGGACAGAGTTACCCACAAGAAAACACCAGGTTTCCAGTGTGTCGTCATATTAATTTCACTGCACCCAGCTACTCGAAAAGGAATTTAAAGCCTCAGTGCAACTGCATTTTGGTGGGAAAGGAAAAATCCTCAAGTTTGCACCTACCCACGTGTTCTGACTGTAATTCCCTGAAAATTTTCTGCAGGGTGCCTTCCTGGCACTGTGCCACATACTGTGATTCATCAGAGAATCCAAGTAATCACTCTGCTCTAAAACGATGCACATAAATACGATGAAGATGGGAATTCTGCAATGGGATGCAGATGCAAGTTTCCTTCTGCCCATGTTTTCAGGCTTTGCTATCTGCATAGATTGCCTGGTGCCTGGCATGGCACCAGGCCTGTAGAAACCTAAACCTAAAAGGAGGAAACGAATCTATGCATGGATGGCTTTAAGACAATAAGTTAAATAAGGACAAAGTCACACACCGGGAGCCCCAAGGGAGATGGGAGTGAAGAGTGTGTGACGGTCCACTTTATGCAGGAGCTTGGCAAGACCACAGCGCCCGGCCATTTGGTCAGACAAGTGTTTTTCAGGTGACGTTAACACTGAAGTCAGCAGACTTTTAGTAAAGCCTATGCAATGGGAGTGGGCCTCATCTCATCAGTTGAAGGTCTTTAAGGGAAAAGAAAAAGACTGCCCTCCAAAGGAAAGGGGAGTCTGCCTCAAGACTGTCCTTGGACTCCAGCTGGCACATCAACTCTCCCAGGGCCTCTCACCTACAATGTAAACTCACTCCTAAGGCAAACTACCCAGGCCGAAACCCTCAGCCTTTACTAACTGTGAAAACTTGGTTGTATCATTTAACCACTGCATGCCTCGGTTTCTTCATATGTAAAATGGGGATGGCGGGGTGTAAGACATAAGGGAGTGAGTATTCATAAAGCACTTGTTCCATAGTACAACTCACTAATGATTACTCATTTGCATAAAGCCCCACACTTTGAATCTTTTTTTATCTCCTGAAGGCTAGCACACAGTCAGACTGAGTCTACTGCATTTATCTACACAAGCCAAGGATAGTCCAGCCGCCCACTGAGCCTGAAGCTAGGCTGGCAGAAACCACAGAAAAGCCAGGTTGTGCCAGGCACAACCCCTCCCTGCACAGGAAGTCCCCCAAGGCCAGGCAGGTCTGAGGCACAGACAGTCACAAAGAAGGAGGGAAAGACTGGACGCAGCCACCCCCTGGACAGGATCTAGCAACCTGGGTCAAGGCTGGATATTTCAGCAATGTCTACCCTCTCAACCTGCCTGCTCATTAAGTATTTCTCTGGCTTCTTATAGCACCTGGACAACTGGGGGAGTCTCTGCTAGGCCCCTGTGTTTCCTTTTGCTGTAGTTTGGGTGAGCAACCTCCCAAATGCCACAGCACCATAGGAGGGAACCTTAAGAGTAGCGCCTGGTTGGAGGAAGTGACGTCAGTGGGGGCGTGGCCTGGAAGGTGATGCAGGGATAGCGCTTCTTGTTCTTCTGTCTCTCCTTGCTTCCAGGCCACCATGACATAAGTAGGCCTCTTCTACCACACATTCCCACCGTGATGTACTATACTGCCACAGGCCCAAAGCAAAAGGGTGAAGCAGCCACAGACTGAACCTCTGAAACCATGAGCCAAAATAAATCCTTCCTCCTTTTAAACCAATTCTCTCAGACATTTTGTCACAGTGATAGAAAGATGGCTACCATATTCTGTGACTGTCATGCTGGGCAACACAGTATTTGTCTGCTGCCTGTAATGTAGGCAGTGATGCTCACCTGCATGGCACTGGCCTCACAAAGCAGGAAAAGGGCTATGGGAGCCAATCAGAGGGTTCAGCAGCATCTGCTGAATGATATCAAGGACAGAAAGGATAGCACCCCTGTCCTTTCTTGGGTGAAAGGCCTAAAATGGGGTTGGCACAGAAGGCAGGGCAGTGTTCTGAGAAATACACGGTGTAGACAGCTGAGCCTTAAACCCTGAGTATGGAAATCTGAGTCTGCAGTTCCCTGAGCAAACAGGGAATCTGGAAGCTTTTTTGGAATAAGACTAGATGACTCAAACCACACTCTAGAATACATTTCACAACTTGAAAAGACTAAGCCAACAATACAGGCAATGCAGCAACAATCAAGAAACGAGGGCTCTGGCAGGATCCTCACTTTGTCAAGTACAAGCTAGGTGAGAACAGGACACACCTTACGCTATTAAACAAAGCAGTTTCCTTCTCTGTACAGCACAGACACAGATAAATGTTTATCTCCTGTCACTCTTGTCAGGGTATGATAACATGCAAAAGCTTGCAAGAGCATTTGGTTTATGATATCCACACCTCGGCAAGCAAAGAAAGCAGCAACCACAGCAGAATTATGGCATACACATGCAGAGACACTGCCTGAGAAAGTTACAGCGCACACACAGAACAATGCAGTGCTCAAAACATATCCTGGCATACTGACAGACGCAAAAGCTACGTGAGAGAAATTTCATTGAATGAATTGGTCTATCTCTTAACACAAAGAATGATAAACTCAGAGAACCAGCACTGACTGTATGAAGGATCTATCTCCGAGTAATATTTTTCTTAGAAAATAGAAATTCCATCATTAAAAACACTCAGTTTTCAAACAAGCCTCCCTTCCCCCACCCCAAAAGTCACATGTCACTTCACGCTCAAGCCCTCCTAAAGCCAATCTTCATTTTAGACACATTCATCAAGACACAAATACTTAAGTACCTAGCAGGCGCTGGCCCTTGGTTATGTTAATTATTTGCCTCTAGCAATTTAGGTGCAGCTACTTAGGAAAAGCCAGAACAGGTACAGTGGGAATGAACAAAGCAAACAAGGAACAAGCCCGCTACAAAAATATTCTTCCTGAGTAAGAAAAACAAAAAGATGATGGGAAGAAAAGACAGAGATCTAAAAGACAGACTCAGTCAGTCATGGTGGTCCATGCCTGTAATCCTAGCACTTGAGAAGCTGAGGCAGAAGGATCTCCAAGAGTGTGAGGCCAACCTGAGCTACATAGTGAAGCAGGCCAACCTAAACTACATAGTGACTATTTCAAAAAACAGATAGATTCGGAAAGCAATTAGAAAACATCCAGAGAAAAAGAGCACATTTTTAAGCAAGGATAACTGAGTGAGGTTCAGGTCATTCTTCCTGCCCAGGGACCTTCCAGCACAAAGAAGACCTCCGCACCCAGAGCTGCACACAGTTCGCCACCTACTCATTGCAGTGAGCCTAGGAGATGAAACCTGGTTTTCCTGCTTTTAGGTATTTTCCTCCCTCTTACCATTATGCATCGAGAGTGCTGTGTTGCTGCTATTTATACGTGCCCATGTTATAACTTGTATTTAGATGTCCCCCCTAAAGCCTGATACAATTGTAAGTGTATCTTTCAGAGCTGACTGGAGCTAGCACATGTGATAGTGGGATTAAAGGTGTGTGGTGCCAAATCAGTCCACTGACTGCAGTTTGCATAGTTCTGCACATGGCTGAATGGATTACTGACAAAAGAAGCCCCACACAAAATGGGGTGGCATCACCTAAAAGGCTTATGTCCTGGACGGGATAAAAGAGAAGGCAAGCTTGCTCCTGCGGCTGCTTGCTGCTTTCAGACTGCTTTGCCATGAACTGTTTCTCTTCTGTGAAGCCCCTCTGCTATGCCAGCCCATTGTGAAGCCAGGTGACTGTGCACTGAAACATCTATAAACCTGAGGTCAAATAAACTTTCCTTCCTTTAACACTGGCTGCCTCAACGAGAAAAGTAACTAAGCCCATAAATGACGAACAATGCTTGTGCGAATCTTGGTACAGTCTACCTGAGATAGGCACACTTATGTGACAACTGTGCACTGACTGCCTGTTTTGCAGCTCAAAGAGTTAACTTTCATCTAACTGGGACACAGTGACACCAGGTAAGAGAAGGAAACATTTTACTTAAAACTGTAACTTTAAGCATTATTTGCCACCAAACCTTGATCCTTCGAATGCTGATGATGGCCTCTGACACTTTCTCGATGGCTGAGGGGAAGAAGAGGGTGACAGTCAACCGCACCGCCCCGTACAGTGTCATGGCCACAAATACATGGCTGGCTGTGATCACATGGCCAAGCAGCACATAGCTGGTGAAGGTCACAAACAGGATGATTTTGTTGGCAACAAAAAATGAAGCCAAATTCATCCCTCTGAGGTAGGAGCTTCTTAGAACCTTGGAAATTTCCTTCCTGGAAAAGGGAGTAAAACACAGGTTTTCATGGAGCATCAACATCAAAAGTATGGAATCATGCCCTGTGCACGGTGCCTTTGCAAGGCAGGAGACATCTGCTACGATAAACTGCCTGTGACATCGGGAATATACGGTCAGCATATGCCCTGTGTGGCAGCCTCCACACAATGACCACATGGGACACAGTACAGCACTTCTCTTGACCAGCCACAGGGTGCTGAGTGCACAGTGTAACATTCTGAGGATTTGAACAAGCAGTCAAACAAATTCACTCAAGGGATATCTGTAAGCCTGTGTCCTGGCACGGGCACCTCCCTGATGACAGAGAAGTGAGCCAGGACCTCAACAACTTATGGGGAAGAGGATAAGCAACCCCACAACTGTGAGACTCCAAGATACTAGATGGCAGGAGTTGGCGCATGGTGGCAAGGGAGGTGGGCAACCTGGAAAGGAGGAGCCAGCGAAGGCTGCACAGCTGATGGGAGCCAGAGAAGACTGAAGGGAAGGCGGCACAGGAACCCAGGGGGACACACCTACACAGGGGCACAGGTGACAGGTGGCCAGGGCTACCAGAGAATTACAAGGCCTGTCTCCTAGAGGTGGAAAAACTCATCAAATATTTAAGTCAAAACTCAAAACAAGATTTTAACAATATAAAGCCAAACAAAGGGATGGTATTTCCATAACTGGTTGGCATAATAATACCCATTCATATCATTTGGCTCTATCTGATGTAGCCAATCTCCATAACCTTCTCATCTGGCTACACTGACATAAATTAGTTTTATTTTAAATGCAATAGTCTCCCGACATTTACATCTTGGAATCATTGCTTAAGCGGGCCTTGGAGTGTTCAGAAACATCTGGACTTCTCCTCAATGTTCCCACTAAGGAGTACATATCTTTCTTGCTTTTAGAAAATGGCAAATGAAGTCTAGGTTAAAATGATGTCCTGTTTATTCCACTTAACCCTATAGCAGAGAGGGGTGGTGTGGATCATACTAAGCCCATGCTGTTGTGGAAACACAGTTAAGACTTTTAAACTCCTTCAATTAAAACAGAAAAACACAGTATAGTGTGATGCACACAAAAACTCACCTTCTTAAGTTGCTAATAAGGTCTGCAAATGACTTTTCCCAGGCATACATTTTGATTATCCTTATTCCAGTTATAACTTCATTCATGGTCCTGATCCTGGCATCCGTGAAGGCTGCAGTTTTACTCCTAAGGGGAGAGACAAGGAAGATGAGCCACAGCAAGGGCCACCTACCTTCTCTTATCTGCAGCAGGCAAGGCAAAGGCTGAAGATGGAATGATTCTCTGCAGCTCCTTGTAGCTCTTTTGCTCTGCCCACCCAGGAAGGATCCACTCATAATCCCAAAGGAAAAAGACTGCAATTACAAAGTCAACAACTCATTCCGACTCCCGAAGCACTTTGGAGCATCTGCAATGTTCACTGAGGAAGACATGAATATGAGTCGTGGCAATCAACCCATCCCTTAGGTGCACTCAGGTAGGAGGGCAGGTGGTAAGGCTCCTGAATCTACAGTGATGCACTGCAGAGGCAGGGGGAAACAAGAAGGAAGTACATGATACGGGACGGCAAGGAAATGGTGATGCATGCTGCTGAGAAAGCAGTGAGCAAAAGAGCACGAGAATATCACACATCTCCAAGGACAAGGACCGTTTCTCCTCAGCAAAGAGGACAAAGGGAAAATTCTGAGTAGAGAAAACAACAGGAACAAAGACACAAAAGTAAGAGCTCAAACACACATCAAACATCATCACGTCTCTACCACCTACTCATTTTTTTTTTTTTTGGTAGTACTAGGGACTGAACCCAGGGGTGTCATACTGAACTACATTCCAACCCCTTATTTGTTTTGAGCTAGGTCTCAGTAAGTTGCCCAGGCTAGGCTAGAACATGTGATCCTTCTGCTTTAGTCTCCCAAGTTGGCAGGATAACAGACATTTGTCACCACTTGGCTTTTTCCTTCTGGCAAACTCACATTTTTAAATCATTCTTTGGGGCTCTTTTCTCCTGACTTTCTATTGGCTAAAAGCACCCAACAGTATAAGATCAATTAGTCTGCTGCCCAGAAAGGAAGCTCAGGAAAGCTGCAGATTGCAAAGATGGAGCATAGGAGAAACTGGTCACTGAAAAGAGCAAGAAAAAGCCAAGTATTTCAGATGAAGACAACAGAAAAGATGGCCTGAGGGTATCACAAGAACCAGAAGGTTCCAACCTTTGCAGCCTCAGAGTTGCAAAGGTGAGACTTTGCTTTGAGAAGAGAGTCCCAGAGGACCATGCCCCAGAATGTTGGCAGCCTAGAGAATTCGTTCCTCAGGACTGGGTTCAGGGTGCTCAGGTACTCAATCCCTATAGCCAAGAGAGAAGGAAGCCTGGCTACTGCTCCTACTGACAGCAGACCTTGGTAGCATCCACATGGTGCTGGGTTCAGGTGCATGCAGAATACAAAAGCTATAGGGTCAGGAAGACTTACACACAGATTTCAAAAGAGGCCAGCCAGTGTGACACCTAGAGAGGGCAGTGTGTAAAGCTTGGCATATGACGCAGTGGAGACCTCAGAAGTTTGGAGAAACTAGTAATGTGGCTAATCAGAGGAAACCTGCAAGAACAGAGCAGAGCCAGCAACAGCAGGAAGCCATGGGAGCTATGACTATCATCAGCAGTGCCATAGGGATGAAGCCACCCAAACCCTTGAGAGTTCATAACTTTCCACAGATTGCTAGGGATGCTAAAAGTAGAACTGTGGAATTTAATGTTTGCCCTGCTGGATTTGGGTCTTGCTTTGTTACCATTTCTTTGTAGCCGCTCTTTGTAACTTTTGGAATGGAAATTATCTTGTGCCATTGAACGCTGAAAGTCTTTAACTTCTTTTCACTTGTACAAGGAGCATTCAGCTAAGAGTTTGGCTTAAATCTCAGAAGAGACTTTGGACTTGGTCTTTTCAGCAATGCTGAAACTATTAGGACTTAAGCAACAGTTGGAAACGGACTAAATGCCATGAGTTTGAGGGGACCAGGGCAGTATGTTATGGCTTATGTCTAGATGTCTCCCCAAAGTTCTCATGCAGTCACAGTAGGGCTTTTTCAGAGGTGGCTGAATCTAGAGTGACACTGGAATTAATTTAAGGTGCAATGTTAGGATCAAGGGCATGAGGATTAAAAGTGACCCACCCTAAGTAACTTGGATAAGACATAAGGCATACAAAGAGCCATGGTCCCTACCTTTTTGCTTTGTTATCTTTTACCAGCAATGAACTGTTTGTCTGCAGTGCCAGCCTTGGAGCCTGCTGATTATGAACCAAAAGCTCCACAAACTGTAAATTAAAGCTCCGCAAACTGTGAGTTCCTCCTTTAAGTGTCAGATATTTCGTACCAGCAAGGAGAAAAGTAACTAAGATATGGTCTAAGTCACTTTATCACTGAGTCCTTCATCAACAGCCATTTTTCTAGCACACAAGCTTCAAGGACCACAGGACTATAAAAGACATTGTTAGGCTTGACCCTGTCCTTGAGGAGTGTACACTTTAATGGAAATACAAAATTAAAAACCATACACACATAGGAAAATATCTTGAACACGTTTAACAAAAATCTATGGAGACAGGAAGAGAGTCTTGGGAAAGAGGTGAAGGCAAGGGTAAAGAGGGTAAAAATGACCAAGATGCAATACATGTATGTTCCCCAAGATGAATATTAATTATTAGGTATTGCAAATATAAATTAATAAAAAATTTTAAATGTATGCAGTTACAACCAGGGCTAGAAAATGTTTATTATTATTTAATCTATGTTTAAATAATTTCTATATATGTAATTTCCGCTTAGGGATACTGGATATAATGAGCCCATGGTGCCTGGAAAGCTAACTTGGAGCAGCCCAGGACCTTCAGCTTCTACAGTAAAAGCAGCCTTCAGCTCACAGCAGGACTGGCCACTGGCTAAGCCTGAAGAGCCTGCAGCATGTGCAAAGATAAAATAATAAAGCACTTCTTTTGTTTCTGAACAAACGCACTAGACAGCATGGTGGGTGCCACCAACCCCATATGACATAATTCTCAAGCCAGTATTTCTCTTACCGCAGTGATGAAAACAACTTCCCAATGCAGCTTTGCAAAGGCAGAAGAATTATCAGAACTGCCATCCCAGCAAGACACGATACTCCTATTTCCATCCAGAGAAGGACTGTCACTGCGATGGCCTGCAGTGGTCCCGCCCACAGAAAGTGCAAAAAGATCGTCACCTTTGAAGAAAAAGACAAGTTCTTAGGACTACATAAAAATGAAAGCAGCGAGAATGTGGCACAGAAACATTCCGCTCCAAAAGAACAGATGAGAAGCCAAACAGAAATGGCCATAGTGGGTTTTAAACCCAGGGAAACATAAATGTGAGTGTCCACCCAGACGAGTCTGCCCAGAAGTAGATCCTCAAGAAAAGGAGAAGGACAGTTTTGCCAGCCATCTCTTCGACTCATGTCAAGTGCTAAGGAAGAGGAGTCCACGGGAGACAGACAGGTGCCTAACCAAGGAGGACAACAACACTGTCCTCTGCCTATTTATCATCGAAGTCTGTAGGAGGCAACACTAGCAGACAAAGCTCTAATCTACAAGATGACACGTGGTACAATGTATACGCTGCACACAGGGGTGAGAAGCAGAATAAAGTACCCCTATCTTACCTCCTCAGAAGAATGCTGCTCTACACCCAAAATGTGCCATCCCAACATGTTAGGCTAAAGAAAAGGGGCAAAGGCTGAAAATGAACCTTGGAATGTGACTCACCTGATCAAACTTGTTCACATCATTGGACAGCAGGTTGACTATCTGGCCTGTGGTTGTCTTCCCCAAGGCCACATTGCTAAGTCGAAGTGCCTGAAATGGAAAAGAAAAATAGAGAAGTGGGGACACAATGTCATGCATAGGAAACAGCAAAACATGTCCATCGGAGTCGCGTGGGACATAAAGGCCAAAGTAACTCAAGAGTTGCTATAAGAACAGGCATTGACAGCTGTGCCCAGCTTCACCGACAGAGTTAAACTGAAAAGAAAAAAAAAAAAAAGAGCAAGAACCTGGTCATAAGATAAAGGCACACACTGATAGAATCCAAAGAATGTTACCTATTTTTTTAAGAAAAGCGGAGGCTTTAGCTCAGTGGTAGAATACTTTCCTAACATATGCAAGGCTCTGGGTTCAATCTCCTATACTGAGAAAAAGAAAAGAACCAAATATGGCAGTACAAGCCAGTAATTCCAGCATTTAGGAAGCTGAGGCAGAAGAACTGCTCCAAGTTTGAAGCCAGCCTGAGCTACATAGTAAGTTTAAGGCCAGTAAGGCCCTGTCTCAGACAAAAAAAAAAAAAAAAAAACCCACTAGGATAAACTGGGGTGCATTCAAAAGATCCCAACCACGCCTTCCAGCTAAGTTCAAAACAGAAGTAGCTGATCTATGACTGAGATGCCACAGAGAGGCAGCAGATCCAGTTCTGACAGGAGGGTCCACTAGAAAACAACACTGCATTCCTTTAGCCCACTCCGCCATGACAGTCATGGCACAGCATAGCAGAACAGCTAGCACACATGGAAAGACACACATTAAAAACATGACCCGTGACCAACAGAAAAACACACTTCGATAATTCAGGAATTAGTAGAAAGGAAACAGAACAACAAGAAACTTTTGGCTTTAAATACTTTTCATTAAAAAGAAAACAGGTATAAAATTGATCATCTAAGATTCTACCCAAAACCAGAGAAATGAAAACAAACCCACTCTGTCCACACCTCGAGTGGCACTGAGTGTCAGCTCACTGAGCAAACATCTGCGTGATACCAGTACAGCTCCCATGCAGTAAGCCCCTGCTGCAAGCCAGATGACAAGAGAGCAACCCTGCAAAGTGAGAATCACCTCCACTCAGTCGATGAGAAAATGCACGCCTAATGGAGAACAGGCTCTTAATGTTCTTTAATGAAGCAACTCTTCCTCATTAATGTAGAAAATGAAAGTTGGTATATATGTTACAGTTTAAAACAGTGCATGGTCAATGCAGAGAAAAGCAATCTGCCAATTCTGCTAATATTTTAGGTCTACATTTTCTGAAAGGTATTTTAAAAAGAATACTATTTGATTTTTCGTATGCAACGAAAATAGTTCTATCAGAACAATAAAAGGCAAACAACAAACTGGACTCAACATTTGCACTTTATATGCCAGATGGAGGGTTAATTTCTTTAAGAAGTCGAGACTACCTAAATATCAAGAAGAATTATAAAAACCTACTAACCCAAAACAGAAAGAAGGAACAAAAAGAAAAGGCCACGTGTGGCCTCACACCTGTAACCCCAGCTGCCTGGGAGGTGAAAACAACAGCAGCACTAAACCCACAGGAGGCCGCCTAGGGCTTTAACTCAGTGCCTCAGTGCTCAGCACCCCAGTGGGGAAAGTGGGCATGAAATTCACAAAGCAAAGCACAAACAGCTAAGGAATATATGCAGCACTCAAATTCACTATTACTCAGTGCCATATGAATCAAAGTAACAAAGCAGTGCATTTTTTTTTTTTTAACCAAGTCAAGCAGGGGGCTGGGGATTTAGCTCAGCGGCATAAGCGCCTGCCTTGCAAGCAGGCGGTTGTGAGTTCGATCCCTGGTACCGATAAAAATGAAAAAGACAAAAAAAAAAAAAAAAAAAGAAAAAAGAAAGAAAAAAAGAAATCAGTCAAGCTTTTAAAAATACAGCATTCAGTCCGGGCAGGTGGAGGAGTGGCACATCACATTGCTGGGGAAGACATATAAATAGTGAACAACCTTGAGGCTGGGGATTTAACTCAGTGGCCTAAGTGCCTGTCTGGCAAGCACAAGGTCGTGAGTTCAATCCTTGGTACAAAAAAAAAAAAAAAGTGAACAACCTTTGAGAGGTGAACTGGCCTATCAGATCCTTAAATTGTGTAGACCCTGAGAAATCAGCGACCTGTCTAAGGGTTTCAGCTTTAATTGTATCCATTGCAGTTACTGTTTGCAATCCCTAAAAACCCGCAGACAACTAAATGTCTCATTGCTGTAATAGCAGGACCCACACGGCTGAGAAGAACAATGCCATGAACTATACAGTATGAACTTCATTTTAGGGCGAGTTATTACTTGGGCTGGCAAGAAAGTACATCTGGGACATGAGAATCTTAGTAATCTAGCCCAAAGCATCAACTATTCAATTGTTTTTACTGTCGTTGCTTTTGAGACAGAGTTGCACTACGTAATCCAGGCTGTCCTTAAACTCACTACGTAACCAGGCCGGCCTTGAACTGGTGGTGGTGATCATCATGCCTCAGCCTCCCAGAGGCTAAGGTAACATTTGTGAGCCACCATGCCTGCCATAATTTTATTCAATTTTTAAAAAATAAACTAAGTAGTCCTGGATTATAGCTCAGTGGGGATGGAGGAGGAGAGTGTCTGTCTTGCAGGTGGATGGCCCTAGGTTCTATTTCCATCATCATGAAAAATAAGTTTTTTAAAAAGTAATATCATATTTGAAAAATAAAGTTTCTTCTGTCTCAAGCATTTTTATCCGTGAATGTGAAACACATAACCCAACTGTGTCCACATAAATACAAACATCAAAGGAATGAGACACACATTGGGTGGAGGTGGCCTTTCCATGGAAGTAAACTGCCCTTTCACAATCCATCTTTAATTCTAGGGAGGTCCTCTCACAAAGTTGCAAACTGTAACTCTTCCTCCATAGCAGCAAGCTCTCATCCTGAGCCAATGACCCTCGTTCTGGCGTGCCCCTCCCAAAGGGTTTCAAGTGTTGGTTGGCTTTTGCATGCTTCACCATCCCATTCCGTTCCTATTATCGGGCTATTTAATAGTCCTGAAATTCTCAGAGTATTTCCCCATTTCCTATGACTATTCTTAGACCCAGAGATGACCTGATACTATCTTAAATCAAGTCAGAGCACACAGAGCCTGCGTAGACATCTAAAGGTGTCTCAGCACTTGGAGCTTGCTTCCTGGTTCGTGGCCTTTCCCAGAGGTAACTGCCAGATCATGGACCTTTCAGGTGAATCAGGCATTACCACCACAGGAAACTGCGAGCATGTTTACCCACTGAAACAAAAAAAATTGTCAGTATTTTTCCAATATTGGCGGCCAGAGTTGCTTAGTAATGCACCACACCTGCTTTCACAACTGAATAATCTAAAGACATTCATGCTGCCTTTGAGGGGAGGACCCAGGCACTGCTTAATATCCTCCTTCCCCATGAACACCATGGGTGACTGCCCTGCAAATTCAGTTGTGTTCCCTCCACAGCTCTGCAGAAGAAATTCAAGGAAATGAACACCAAAGTCCACACAAAACAACCACCTGCCATGCTCTGTAATCTGACAGCTCTGCTGCCTCCTGGGATTTGTTTTTGTTTTCTTTTACTTTGTTTCTGCCTGGTTTTCCATGAGCGGTACACAGGCTGGCAAACTTGTGCAGAAAGCTGAGGGGTGTGGCATTCACCTGGAGGTGCACAGGGCTCTGTCCTCAGTCTGCTGCTTCCCTTGCATTCCCATCGCTGTGGAGTAAAGGCTTCTAAAAATGCAAAACTGAGTCCAACAGCAACACTCCCTTCGAAGGACCAGAGAAAGGACTGGCTCGAAGCCACCAAGTGTCCCTACAGCTGGCCTCTCCAAGGCCCTGGGCATTCCTAGGGCTCCACAGCCCCAGCAGCATGAAAGACAAAGTGGTGCACCAGGCGCCAGCAAGCCCATGTGGGTGAATGCTATGCAGGGTGCCCCAACGCTAGAGAAGATGGGAGCCAGAATGTCCCGACCCTCAGGAACAGTGTGAACACAGAACTGACAATCAGTACTCTGGTGAGTGGAGGGATAGTTAACACATACGGTTATAGGAAAGTATAATTAAGAAGCTCTACTCTACTAACACGCACAGAAACACCGGGTAGCACAATCCGATGGCAACCCATTCAAGGTGGGGTGGCGCCCCAGACCCCATGGCCTCCCACCAACAGTGTCACTGTTTGAAAGAGAAGCCCTGTCTGACTAGGTTACCAACTCAGAGAGGGAACACAGATGGGAGCAAGATGTGACAATTGTAGTAAAGCTGAACTGATAGGGAACAGTGGGGGAAAACCACAAAACCAGCGACAGCCCAGGAGGGAGTGAGAAAAGAAAATCTCAGTGAAGCCGGGGTTTAGCTCAGCATGGTAAGTGCCTGTTTGGCAAACGCAAAGTCTTGAGTTCCATCCTGGTACCAAAAAAAAAAAAGATAAAAGAAAATCTTAGAGCAGAAACGAAGCTCTCACCCACCCACCCCCCTCAGAAAAGAGGCAAACACTAAACTTCTGTTAGACTTTATTTTTTCTTTTTCTCTTTTCTGTTTCTGAAGGAAAAACATAAAAATGCAAACAAAACTGGGTTCATAATCTACCTTCTCAAAACTGGCATGCTTAGTCATACAAACTTACACATGAAGCTACTGCCAACTCTTTCCTAACAATTTTACTTATAATTATATTGCATATAAGAAATCCTTTAATAATTTTTTATTATACGTCTATTTTCAAGTCAAACAAGTAAATACAGGGAAAGCAATTTGCCCTCTATAGACTCACACTGGGCATAATTTTGCTAAGAATTCATCCAAATGAGAATATTTTACAAATACAACTTTCCTTTTCGCCTAATGTTGTTGTATCTTTTGTAGACTGAACTTGAGACAATTGCTGCTCAGTAATCCTAAAACAATGTATTTTTTTAATATTGCAGAATTGCATTCCATCGTTTGTACCCTTTTCCCAGTATCATCCATAAAGCTTAAAGAAAATGAAGAGCTTGGTGCATCAGAAACAAAAAACAATAACAGCAGTAAA